CAGTTAAAAGTGATCTTAAACAGCTTTTCAATTTAGTGGATGTTACTCCAAAAGATTAGAAGATTATTTATTTCTGTGTCTCTGCCCACCTCCTCCTGCATAGCAAAAATCTTTCAAAAAGCAATGAAATATTTTCTGATAAATGTAAGTTCAGTGTTAGCTGTAATTCAGTGAGACATTCTTCCCTTTCAATTAGGAGCAGGGAGGTCTTGCTGCAATTGTACAGGGCCTTGGTGAGACCACACCTGGAGTACTCGTGTGTGGTTTCAGTCTCCTTATCTAGGGAGGGATGTTTTGCTATGGAGGGAGTACAGTGAAGGTTTCCCAGACTGAATCCTGGGATGGGATGGCAGGAGATGCGTATGAAGGCACACTGGATCAGTCAGGATTATTTTCACTGGAGTTTAAAAGAATGAGGGGGTTCTGATAGATACCCTTAAAATTCTAAGAGGACTAGACAGGAAGCCTGACAGAACTCGACTGGGGAGATGCAGGAAGGATGTTTCTCTTGGCTTGGGGAGTGGGCTGTTGGGTGGGGAACCAGCAAGCACCGTCCCGGAGTATGAGGCAGGACACCTAAATTTGAGCTGAAGAGGAATTTCTTCTTGGAAAGGAGGGAACAAATCTTAGGAATTCTGTCCCTCAGAAGGCTGTGGGAGCTCTGTTATTGAGAAGATTAGCGAGATCAACAGATTCCTCCATACTTGTGACATCAAGAAACATGGCACAGTGTAGGAAAATGCCATTGAGGTAGATGATACAGAATGGTAGATCAGACTTGAGGGGCTGAATGGCCTGTACTTGCTCCTGTGTGTGCTGGGTGCACATTGACTGCCACATCTCCTACATTATAGCAGGAACTATGCTTCAAAAACATTTCATTGGCTATTACTTGAATATGTCCTGAGGGTGTGATAGGCAGTATAGAAATGTGAGACTTCAATCTGTTTTATTGATGATTAAATACCAAGCAGGACATACCTACAGGGCATTGTGAGATTTCCTTCTTTTTTTGTGTCATTTTCATTCTCCTCTCCACTCCTTCCTCAATGGGAATTCTGAATTCTTGATTAAATGGAAATGTTGTTGTCCTCCTCTGCTGTTTTACGTTGCTGTTTATTTTCCTGTTTTTGTGAAGTTGCATTTGAAGATTTGGAGTTTGTACAAAATGTTGAGATTTCTATTTGAAAGTGAGGGCAGAGAAGCTGCTGGAGGGTGTCGTGTCTGATCGCCTGGTGTGAGAGGCGAACTTTGAGAAGTTGCTTTGCTTGAAAAAGCATCTGGGATCCTTCACTGAATAAACCGAGAAATTGGGTAAAAAGCCAGCCATGTATGGTCAACCTTAAACCACTGGTTAGGACCTCGCTGGAGTGTCTCATTCTGAGCAGCAGACCCGACAAGGGAGAGGGTGGATTGCTGCTGGTGATGTGTCACTTCTGTCATTGCAGAGACTGGAGAAACTGGGATAGTTGTTGACAACAGAGAAAATCAAGAGGAGATTTGATCATGGGTTTTCAAAATCATGAGCTGTTTCAGTAGAGTCTAAAAGGAGCAGCGCCTGCACTGGTATGGCGTTGGTCACCAGAGGAGACACATCTTGGTGGAGAGAAACCAGGGAGGAGATGAGAAATGTTTTTTGATGGAGACGTTGTTGTATTCTGCTGCATTACCAGGCAGTGGAAGCAGATTCAATAATCATTTGACAAGTTATTATCGAATTCTGTTATGGACCAGATCAGACCTCGTCAAAATATTTTAAGAAGGTAGCCTGGACCCTAACTTTTTCTTATTTTAAAGGTAGATGTCTCCGATGCGATGTCTCCGATGCAATGCCTCTGGTCAAACTACTCGACATTAATTTATTTAAACGCTGTGGTTAAAATATAAACACAGAGGAATTTAGAATAATTTAGCTCTACTGGAAAACTTAACCAAGTAATAGATATAGTACCTATTACTAATTAACTGTTCCAGTATAGTAACATCCCATAAACACACCCCTTTGGCAAAAGGAAAATTCAGAAACAGATTCTCACATACAGTTCTTCAATTCAGGAGGGAAAAAACATCCAGAGAAAATTCAGAGAGAGTAGCAGCTAGGAGACATTCAGTGAAGTTCCCAACTTTGTTGAGATCCCAATAGCATCTGATACTAAAAACTAAAACCCAGAAATCCTGGTCAGTGAGAGCTGGCCACGCCCACTCAGGCTGCTTTTAAACAAAAACCAAGGCGCCTCAAGCTGCTGACTAAAGAGGTCTTTACCAGCTAGTTCGTCACCTCTGCCTTACAACCTCTCCAAAAAAAAACAGGCCAAAATAACCTCTTAAAGTGACAGCATCGTCACACTTCTCAAGGGTAGTCAGGGACATGAGATGGCTCCCCACTTCATCAAAAAAGGCCAATACTTGAAGGGGGAAGTGGAAGAGAGTGGGAATAATATGGTGGAGCCAGTACAGATATGTTGGGTGGAATGGCCTCCTGCTGTGCCGTACCATTCCATAATTAAAGGGCCATGATGTGGAGGTGCTGGTGTTGGACTGGGGTGGACAGGGTCAGAAATCACATGGCACCAGGTTACAGTCCAACAGGTTTATTTGAAACTGTTTTTAAAACTGTTAACTAAAGTTTTGGGAGACTGAACTGCCTGGGTTGACATTTCCTGTTGGGATATAGTGTTCCAATGATGGGTGGGGGGGTCTTGCCTGTGGGAAGCAGTGGGGGGTGAAACTGGGAGGTGGAGCGGTGGCACTGGACTTGGAGCATGTACCCAGTGCAGTCTTGGCCAATTCTGGACTCTGCCTGGGCAAGTTGACTCAGATTGTGTGTTTCTTTTCCTCATTGTGTGTAAGTGAGAGGGACAGGGAGAAGGGGATCTGCAAACATAGCTGCAGTCCTTGTACCTAAAGTGGAGAAGGTGGGGGTGAGCTGCCTTCTTGAACCGCTGCAGCCCATGTGCTGTGGGTTGACTCACAATGCCCTTAGGGAGGGAATTCCAGGATTCTGACCCAGTGACAGTGAAGGAACGGCGATATATTTCCAAGTCAGGATGGTGTGTGGCTTGGAGGGGAACTTGAAAGTGGTGGTGTTCCCATGTATCTGCTGCCCTTGTCCTAGATGGAAGTTGTCATGGGTTTGAAAGATGTTGCCTTTCCATCTGTAGGATTGTGAATGTGATTGATTCCTGCAAAATTATAATTCTAAGTTTGTGAAACTGCAAGGTGAGAGGTTGTGGATTATTCCTGTGTCTCTAGCGGAGTGGTTGACCCTGTACTGATTCTGTCTGCTTTGTAAAAGGTGCTGTATTTTCAGACGCTTGGGGGCGGGGGTAATCATTTCTGAATGTTCTTGCTTTGAAAGGCGACAGCAGTAATTGTACAGTAGATCATGCCAGGCTCCACCCTGTCCCCAGGGGAATGTGGCCTCCAGTTAACAACTCTTTCATTTCAAGAAATGTTCCACACTTTGTGAGGTTTCTGTACGATTAGGGCTTGGTGCAGGAGCTCAATGGCTTCCCCATCTGCACTGTGCTGAGATTCATTCCAGACTCACTCACTGTCTCTGCAGGGGAGTGCTCAGCTGGACTGACATCAGTCAATGGTCTCCGCATCCTGAGAACAATCTAATGAAGTCACAGCAAAACCGTAGGCTGAAGTCCATTCCAATCTGTTACAGGCCAACATCAGGATTCTTGGTGTCATCACCTCCTCCATTCCCTTGGCTGTACAGACACCTGTATGTGTGCTAGGAATGGTTTCCAAATCTGTCCCTATTCACAGTTGCTCAGTAGTTGATGTCTTTGCTTTCTGAGGAAGAAACTTGAGAGTCAGAGTCTCGCTGCAGAGATTGAGCACAAGATCCAGCCAAAAGCCGTCATTAGAGGTCCAAGGGAGCGCCGCTCTGATGGATTCCCACTTGAATGGTCACATCCCCAAGCTGTCCACGTACCTGGGAACTAATCATATTGCTGTTGGCAGGCTGGAGGCATTTGTTGTTAATTGGTCATCATTTCACAGACCCATCAACTACCTGTTGCTGGCCAACTTCCATTTGTACATAGCCCTCTGTCTCCAGCTTGCCTGTAACCAGGCTTTTCCCACTGCTTGAACCAGCAGCTGTGTACACCTTTCCTGTGAATCATGAACTATTTCCCTAAATGTCTGCCATTATTCCTCAAACTGCTAAACACCTTCTCCAGTCCACTGCAACCACTCCTGCCCTTATTCCTTTGTAACTGTTCTTGTTTAAGTTTTTAGCACAATTGTTTCCAACCCAAAATTTCTGACTCTCAAACTGAACTCTAAACTCTCCCATTTTATGGTCACTGTTTCCCATAGGACCTTTTCTCTGAGATTATTTGTTAAACATTACACATTGCCAGATCCCTGGTTGGATTGACAACAAATTGTTCTAAGAAACTGTCCTGAAGACACTAAATTTTTCACAGATTTCTATGAAATTTGCTAATTTAATATTCCCAATCTATGTGTAAGTGAAAGTTATCCACGACTTAGTTAATGCCTTTATTCTTAATCCCACCAAGTAGCTACAGTGAAAGCCCATAGACTACACCCAACAGTGTCATCTTCCCCTTGTTAGTTCTAACCTCCATCCATTTGGATACGATATCTTCTGATCCAGGTGATTGTTCAGTTAATCATTTTCAGTTTGAGTTTGAAACCTTTCAATTGTGATAGCTATAAAGGAAGGATAGATGATGTAATACACTGATAGCCATGAGTTCATTCAATAGAGAAACAGGTTCAAGGGGCTGAATGGCCTGCTCGTGCTGTTATGATCGTAGAGAGCTGTTTACCTTGTCTGGTGGGCAGGACTCTCAGCCTAGAACTATGCAGGTTTCTAAGAAAGTCTTGCAGTGTTTCTATTGGGTGTGATTTTGAGGTTGTGAAATGTAAACTCCTCCTCGACTGGATCTAAAGTCAGATGAATTCTTGCTGAAGTGATGACCGTGTGTGTTTATGGTGTTTGTTTTCTCCCTCAGGGATGTGTGTGAAATGCAGGAAGGGAGTCTATGGAGCTAGCCAAGCCTGTCAAGCCATGGGCAATCTGTACCACACAAACTGTTTCACCTGCTGTTCCTGTGGTGAGTACACTGCCCCATCACAGCCCTGGGCCAGCTTCCCTCCCTCCCTCCCTGTCTCTGTGTCTCTCTCTGTGTCTCTGTGTCTCTGTGTCTCTGTGTCTCTGTGTCTCTGTGTCTCTCTGTCTCTCTGTCTCTCTGTCTCTCTGTCTCTCTGTCTCT